GCACGCACGCACGCACGCACGCGCGCACAGTCAGCCAGCCAGCCTCGCGCCAGCTACAGTAACTGAAAAAGACTCGCTGGCTGGCTGCTAGGGCGGCGCGCACCAAGTGATTCCTGGAGAGGGGGAAGAAGCGGTGGGGAAGTGCGTCTCACATCTGTGCACGAGTCTTCCCGACTCTTGCTCTCCGTCTCTTGACCCATAGGACGTTGGTAGAACCAGGCTGCCGCGATCCCACCTTAGGAAACGCGTGGACAAGAATCCTCTGGTTTCAAGCACAATGGTTCGTGCTGCCGCCTCCTGTCCAGGGGCGGACCAGTTGTAGGCCGTAAGGCCAAGCAGATTAGATGCGTAGCAATGATGGGGGGGGGGGACGGGACCGGCAGCGTCTTTCTTTCAGCTTTGAAGCGTCCTTGCAATGCTACGGGAACACTGAGCCGCCCCCTTCCACTCTGTCTTGGGGCTACCGACGGTTTTTAGAGGGTGTGCGCATTTTTCAGCGCGGAAAAAACAAAAGAGAAAGAACATTCAGGCTGAATCGGTGTAAAGCCGAGATCCAAACCAAAATTCTCATTTACGGTGCGATCTTTTGCGTATTTGCTTTTTTGGGAGTAAGTCCCACTGCGTTTAAGAACGTTTACTTCAGGCGAAGGACGCATAGGATTATCGCCTTGGTAGGCGACAGTGAAGTCGTTTCATTTAGAAGCAATCCTCTACATATAACTTGGCAGGCTTCTCCTGGCATCTTCAGTTAAAGTGTCTCCTGAATTGTTATCTCTCAGCTTTACTAGCTACCTGTGCCTGTTCGGGAGGCTAAAATTCTGTTCAGAGATTCTAGAGGGAGTGGGGAGATGGTTGTTTAGTCTTTAAGTCGTGTCCAACTCTTCGTGACCCTATGGACCAGAGCATGCCAGGCCCTCCTGTCTTCCACTGCCTCCCGGAGTTGGGTCAAATTCATGTTGGTAGCTTTTATGACATTATCCAACCACCTCATCCTCTGTCGTCCCCTTCTCCTCCTGCCTCCACACTTTCCCAACATCAGGGTCTTTTCCAGGGAGTCTTCTCTTCTCATGAGATGGCCAAAGGATTGGAGCCTCAGCTTCAGGATCTGTCCTTCCAGTTAGCACTCAGGGTTGATTTCCTTCAAAATTGATAGGTTCTCCTTGCAGTCCAGGGGACTCTCAAGAGTCTCCTCCAGCACCACAATTCAAAAGCATCAGTTCTTCGGTGGTCAGCCGTCTTTATGGTCCAGCTCTTAGTTCCATACATCGCAACTGGGAAAACCATAGCTTTGACTATGCGGACCTTTGTTGGCAAGGTGATGTCTCTGCTTTTTAAGATGCTGGTCAGGTTTGTCATCGCTTTCCTCTCAAGAAGCAGGCGTCTTTTAATTTTGTGGCTCCTGTCACCATCTGCAGTAATCATGGAGCCCAAGTTGGTAAAATCTGTCACTGCCTCCATATCTTCCCCTTCTATTTGCCAGGAGAGTGGGGAGATACTATGTAGTAAATATTTTTTTTTCAAGCTTATTTCAAAAGTTCTGTGGTCAAGTACTATGACTGTGGGGTGGCTGCTAACAGTTCTGCGTGACATCTCATGGGTAGCTTGCTGTTTGTGGGCTGAATAAAGCTTTATGTGCTGTTTTGGGGGACCACTGTGGTGTAATGGGTAACATGTTAGTGTAGGGACCCATCAGCACTTAACTATGGAAACTCTTTGGCAGGGACAATAGTAAATACCCTGAAAGCCATGTTGTAAGTTGGAAACAAGTTGATGGCAAATAGTTTTCTTCTGAAAAATGCTAGAAGTGACAAAAATACAAGTTTGCAATGATATGTTTTTTTAAAAAACTGCACATGAATAAAAAGTGATCACTCAAAAGAGCTGAATTTTGAGAAAGTTAATAGCTGTCCTCTTGCTCTTCATGCACCTTGGAGAAGATAGCAGCAGCAAAGTCCTGCTGACTAAAGGAGATTTCAGGGTGCATTTGACTCATACAGTGTGAGGAAGACATGTGCACCCTGAAATGAAAGGCTTTTCATCATCATTGAATACCCACAGGTGTGAACAGGGTTTCAGGCATTGTGTGTGTTCCCTAGACCCATTCTAGTGTACTACATGTGTAGTAAAGCCAAAGCTTTCAACAATTCAGGTGTCAGAGCTTTCTCATTACCAGGGAGGATTTTTTACTATCTGCCACCCACTCTTCCCCTGCCTTGGTCCTTCCAAATTTAGTTGTAGTCCTAGGAGTAGCAGGAGTCACTGAATTTTCAGGAACAATGTACAGTGGTTCCTCGCTTAGCGACGTTAATCCGTTCCAGGAAAAACGTTGCTAAGTGATTTCATCGCTAAACGGAATTAAAAAGCCCATAGAAACGCATTAAAACGCCATTAATGTGTTCCTATGGGTTTCAAAACTAACCTTATGCGAAGATCCACCATAGGGGTGGCCATTTTCGGTGCCTCTAAAGCGAGGCAACACAGCGGACGGACATTTTGTTTCTCCGGTGGCCATTTTGGAACCGCTGATCAGCTGGCCGAAAATGGGGGCTTCGCAAAGCGATTTTTCCCCATAGGGACCATCGCTAAGTGATCACTCTTGCAATGGCCAAAACCCAATTGCTAAGCGATTTCGTCGCTCAACGGAGCGATCACTAAGCGAGGCACCACTGTACTGTTGTAAGCAATCTTTGGACCATCAGAAAGACAACTGAGTTCTTGATAAAATCAAGGCTGAAATTTCTCTGGAAGCAAAGATGATGAAACTGAGGCTGTTGTACTTTGGGCACATCAGAAGATGAGACTTGATGAAAAGGACACGAGTGGTAGGAAAAGCTGAGGGCAGCAGGAAAAGAGGAAGACCATATATGAGATGGATTGACACCATAAAGGAAATCATCTTGTGTTTACATGAATTAAGGGCTGTTGAAGACAAGATATTATGGTGGTCACTTATTCATAAGGTTGCTATACATGTGAGTGAGCTGATGGCATGTAATAACACCCTTGCTGTAATGCAAAGTATTTTATGGAAGGTAAGCACGCACATACACATATATACAGAGAGAGAGAGAGAGAGACTGGCATTTTGGAACAGTTCTTAGAAATGTGGCTGTAACCACTTATCCCAGTTGAATTTAATTCTGTTGCTTTTGGGCCAGTGCTCCATCCTATCAAGGTCATTTTGAATTTTTTTCTGTCTTCTAGAGTATTAGCTATTCCGCCCAATTTGGTATCATCTGCAAATTTGACAAGCATGACCTACACTTCCTCATCCAAGCCATTGATAAAATACAGTGGTGCCTCGCATAGCGAGGTTAATCCGTTCCAGATTAACCTCGCTATGTGAAAACATCGCTAAACGGAACGTAAAAACCCATTGGAACACATTAAACATCATTTAATGCGTTCCAATGGGCCCTAAACTTACTGTTCAGCCAAGTTTCCTCCATAGCGGCAGCCATTTTCACGCCTTCGGTAAGTGAGGGGAGGGCGCAAAACGCTGCGCGTGGCTATTTCGGGCGCCCGGCGGCCATTTTAGAACTGCCGAACAGCTGATCCGCGGGCATCGCAAAGCGAAGATCGACAAGCGAAACGCTTACCGATCATCGCTATGCGAGTTTTGCCCATTGGAACGATCGGTATGCCTCCGCATTAGCGATCCCGAAAAAGGGATCGCTATGCGGATTCGTCGTTATACGGTGCGCTCGTTAAGCGAGGCACCACTGTATTGAAGAGCACTGGACGCAGGTCTGAGCCTTGAGGTACCCCATTTGTTACTTCCTCCCAGTTAGAGAAGGACCCATTAATCATCACCCTCTGAGTACCATTCTGTAGCCATTTGTTGATCCACCTGACACTTGATCTATTCAGCCCACACCTAATTAGCTTGCTAATCAGGATATCGCACTTTGTCAAAAGCTTTGCTGAAGTCAAGATATACTGCGTCTACAGCATTTCCTCTTGTCTACCAGCGAGGTGACCAGATTAAAAAATGAGATCAAATTAGTTTGGCAGGTTTTGTTCTTGACAAATCTGTGTTGGCTTCTAATTATTACTGCTTTGTTTTCTAGGTGCTTGCACAATGACCGCTTTACAATCTGTTCCAGAATTTTGCCGGGATTGATGTCAGGCTGACTGGTCTGTAGTTCCCAGGTTCCTATTTTTTGCCCTTTATGAAGATAGGGACAATATTAGCCCTCCTCCAATCCTCTGGCACCTCACCTGTTTCCCATGATCTCAAGAAAATAATGGATGTTAGTTCTGAGAGTTATTCAGCCAGTTCCTTCAGTACTCTTGAATGCAGTTCATCCAGACCTGGAAATATGAACTCGATCAAACTATTCAAACTATTTATTTATCAATCCCCAGCTGTGATCTTGTCTCCCCCACTTGCACTTCCAATTTGTTTGGAAGTTCAGTCGGTCTTACAGGAAAATACTGAAGTAAAATAGGAATTGAGCACCTCTGCCTTTTCTTTCTCCTGTTATCATTTTTCCATCTCCATTGCAGAGCTGTGCCACTGTCTTTTGTTTTTCTTTTGCTACTCAGATACCTGAAGAATGCTTTTTTATTGCTTTTAGTCTCTAGCTAACCTCAGCTGATTCTCAGCTTTTGTCCTCCTAATGCCATCCCTGCATTTCCTTGCTACTTGTCTGTACTCATCCTTTGTGGCCTGGCCTTATTTCTACTTCCTGTACATATCTTTTTCGTTTAAGGTGCTCCCTGAGCTTTTTGTGAAGCCAGCCACCTCTTGTAGGATTTGTTTGTAGTTGTACCTTTAGAATTCCTTTTTTTTAGAAGCTCTCACCCTTCTTGGGATCCTTTTCTTCCTAGGCTCTCCTGCCATGGAACCTTACTTATCATTTTTCTGATATTAAAATTGGCTTTTTAAAAATCCAGCAGTTGTGTGGCTACACTGCTTTTGTTTCCTTTGTAATCAAGAATTCAAGAAGGACATGGTCACTCTTGCCTAGAGTTCCCCTTACTGCCACTTCCTCCACCAAGTCATCTCTGTAGGTCAGAATCAAGTCAAGGATAGGAAATCCTCTAGTTTCTTTCGCCACTTTTTGTATAACACCTTTTATACTTTCAGCTGGAATTTTACTTTATGTTGGCAGGCTCCGTAAAAAACCCTATTTTCCTATTCACTAAAAAGAAAAGACCAGAAAGGGGGTATACTGTACATACAATACATATAGCATTAAGCAATTTAACTAAAAACTAGAATAACCCTTATCAGTAGACATGCCTCAGCCCAGTTTTATTTCTCTGTTCCTTCCTGAGAAGCTGGACATAAGTACAGCCAATGTAAGCAAAGAACCCCAGAATGCAAAGTGTCAGAAAGTCAGAGACTAGCATGCATGTCTGTTTCACTTCATGTTAATGGCTGCTTTTTCTCCATTGTGTTTATCTTATTATTCACTTCACTGTCACAGTTCCAAGACTGTAAAAACTGGACTATTTCCAGTGTGAATGTTATCGCTATTGTTATTTAGTTATCACTTGGTACAATTCAGAAGCATAACACTTTATTTTTCTATTATTCAAAAGTAACCAATATACTTTTAGTTACTTAAAAATATATGCTATATGCCATCTGCCTGTAGTACAAAATACAATTAAGTACTAAAGCTCCACATTTCCTTCTAACTATAAAATTAACTAGCTGTGCCGGTTCCTTGAGATGTCGGACCTAGCTAGTTCCAGGTCTGACATCTCAAGGACATCTTAGTTACATCCCGTATGGATTACTGTAACATGCTCTATGTGGGGCTGCCTATTAAGACAGTTTGAAAACTTCAGCTGGTGCAAAACTCTGCAGCCAGACTGGGGCCAGCTACAGGGAGCATATAATGGACCTGTTACAAGAACTGCACTGGCTACCAGTCCATTTCCGGGCACAATTCAAACTGTTGGTTATTACCTATAAAGCCCTATACAGCTTGGGTCTGGGCTACCTGGACTGTATCTCCCTATACTGTATGTGCCTTCTCGACAATTAAGATCAGCAGAGGAGGCTCTCCTCTTGGTCCCATTGCCAGCATAAGCACAGCTGATGGGGACACAGGAGAGGGCCTTCTCGGTCGCAGCTCCCAGGCTATGGAATGCTCTCCCTCGGGAGATCAGGATGGCCCCTTCCATTTTATCAAGACCCATATCTTCAGGGCAGGCTTTTAAAAATTATAACTGGATCCCTGAACCCCATTTTAGCAAAAAATTAATCTCTTTATGTTTTCATGTTTTAATCTTTCAGTTGTATTTTAAATCATATATTGTTTCATTGCTTTTTAAATATTTAACTTAGTGTTTTAAATTGTGTACATTTTAATGTTGTGAGCCGCTTTGGGTCCCTTGTTGGGAGAAATGCGGCATATAAATAAAACTAATAATAATAGCTAAAAACAATTATGCTTCAAAAGAAGTGAAATTAATACTTGTTAATGCAAGTGCAGGTGATACCTTATTCAGTGGCTAAAAAAAAGGTACTGCCTCTGCCTTTGCTTTTTCATTGTGCAAGGACCACATGACTTTCTGTTTTTTTTCTGAACAATGGAGGATACCTTGAATAGCTGCCCAGAGCACCATCTAGAGGAAAACATGGAACCTTTTCTCATGTTTATGTTCTTTCTGCACTATCCACAAAACATTGATGTAAGGCACATCTAGGTCCTGTTGGAGTTAATGGGTATTGTTAGTTACTCTAATTTACGTTAATTTCCCCAAAACAACTGCATGACAAGAATGTTTCAGCTCAGCCACATCACAACTCTTATCTCGGTTGTTTATTTATTTATTTATTAAATTTATATCCCACCCCTCTAGACCAGGTCTACTCAGGGCAGCTTACAGCATAAAATAAGACAATATAAAATAAAGATAATCATAAAAATACAATTGGTATATTAGTTCAGTGGTTCTTAACCTTTGTTACTCGGATGCTTTTGAACTGCAACTCCCAGAAACCCCAGTCAGGACAGCTGGTGGTGAAGGCTTCTGGGAGTTGCAGTTCAAAACTCCTGAGTAACCCAAGGTTAAGAACCAGTGTAATTAGTTAATAAGTTAATTTAGGAAAGAATTGCCAATAGGATAAGATGGGAAAAATAAAAATAAAAGACTTAGCTGACTGGAGGGAAGGCCTGCTTAAATAACCAAGTTTTTAACTGTCTTTTAAAAACACCCAGCAAGGGTGCCAGCCGAATTTCTGTAGGAAGGGCGTTCCATAGCCAAGGGGCCACTGCCAAGAAGGCCTGGTTTCTAGTTTTTTCCTTCCGAGCCTCTCTCTGTGTCAGACCCCTCAGCCGTCCCTGCTGGCATTCTTTTTTTAATTCAAACAAACCAATCCCTAAGTTTCCCTTTCCCCTGGTACTTGCAAGACAAAATCACTCCTTGTAGTTTGTAGAGATGTACCCAAATTACTCTGTTTCAGCAAAAGAAATAAAATAATACTGTGTTTCCCCCAAAATAAGACAGGGTCTTATATTAATTTTTACTCCAAAAATAGCATTAGGTCTTATTTTCAGGGGATTTTTTATTTTTTTCATGTACAACAATCTATGTTTATTCAGATAAAGTCATGTCATCTTCTGTTGCTGCACAGTGGTGGAGAGCGGGCTTTCACTTAACTAGGGCTTATTTTGGGGGTAGGGCTTGTATTATGAGCATCCTGAAAAATCATACTAGGGCATATTTTCATGTTAGGTCTTATTTTCAGGGAAACGGTAAAATAGAATGTATTGTCATTCTTCTTCTGTACAACAAAATTAAATGCCATCTCCAGTATACATAATAAAACACACAAAAACAAAGCATCCATAAAATGAAAACATAGCACATTACACATAAAACACATCCCTCTCATTCACATCCACATCTTTCAAATTCAATTTCCCATCGCACAACACATTAATATTGCACTGTACGGTGGAATTCAATATACAGTAGCTGCTGCTCTGGGATAGAAACTGTTTTTCAACCTATTTGTGTTTGTTTTAATTATCCTATACTGCTTACCAGATGGTAACAATTGAAAGAGGGAATAGCCCAGGTGTGATTGATCTTTGAAAATATTTTGCGCTTTCTTAAGACAGCAGGAATAATAATATTGATACAGTATTTTTAAAACAAACTATTGTATTTCAGTATGAAAGAAGGGTGGGTGATACCTGAGAAGTCCACTTAAAAATCACAAACACAAGCTAGGTTTCAACTCCAGGGTGGGCATCACTCGACTGTGGATAGTGTAGGAGGAACATAAATGTTCCAAAAATCATGACTGTGTGTATGTGCCAGGCTCTCTTGTTAAAACCAGGTTTTAAAATGAGGGCTGCAAGCTCTATTAGACAAAGGTTTGCTGATCACTCAACACTACCACCTCCATTGTTTTTTATAAACAGAGATAAGAAAAATAACAGAAATGTGACAAAGCCTGTATCAAAGAAATTGAAATAAAATTTAGTCTACATGCTAGGTGACCCAACTGCAGTCAAATTAAAAATACCGCTTAGCAGTTGGAGGAAAATATCTTGTTTACAATCCTCCTTGATACAGGCTGTCAAATCAAAACTGACTTATAGCGACCCTAATAGTTTTAAGGTGAGCTATTTTAAGGGTGGTTTCACCACTTCCTTATCCCCCCCCCAAGCAGGTACCTGAACCCAGGCCTCCTGAGTCCTACTGTACAGTACCACACTTGAGTATCCTCCAAAAAAAAAAACTTAAAATTTACTCTTGATTTTTAACTAGCACTGGAAAATAATTATTATCCAAACGTTTTGCTCGCTGCATTTGAAATTAGATACCCAGGTATGTTACGAGATGAACAGAATGCAGTGTGATCCTGCGAAAGCCTATTTGGAAACAGAGGCCCTTTTAGTCCAGTGGGATTTACTTATCCATAAAAATGTATAGGGGTACTGAGATAAGAGGAGGCTAGACTCGAGAGACCTACAGCTACCTATATGAACATTTTTAACCCGCTAAAAAGCCATCTACTACGGTTCCTAGCTCTATCACCATGCCCTCAATTCGGAAAGCGGCAAAAAGCGCGGGCACGGCTTCCTTCCGCGCTGCTGAAGTTAGCAAATAGAGCGACCCGTTTCCTCTCAGTTGGAATGTGTTACGTCACAAGACCTCGTTCTTCCAATGAAAAGCGGTGGCTTGAGGTCCGAAGGCCTGTTGTCGGAAGTAGCCGTTGCAAAGGCTTTCACGGGGTGTGTGTGCGCGCGCCTTGGTTTTCCTGTTAGTCCCTGGGTCCTAGCGCCCCGGGATAGCGTGGTGGGCTGTCTTGACCACGAGCGTATGAGCTGTTCATATCTGGTTCCTTCGCAACGCTTTTGCTGCTCCTCTAAAACTCAAGACACAGCGGGCAGGTAGGAAGGAGGGAGAGCAACGGGACGGGACAGCAAGGATAAGGCGAGATGAGCAGGACGAGGCTACAAAGTATTAAGGGGACAGTGATTTCTCAGGGTCATGGAAACTTGGAGGAAAACAACTGAAGAATCAAGGCAAGAGAGTGGAAGTTGAGCCAAAGATTTCGGGTTGTCTGGGAAGGAGGGGATGGTGTGTTGTGTAGACTAGGATCCTTAGGTTTGGGTAGCAGGTAGAGACTGAAGGGATCTAGCATCAAAGCACGAGCCCCGTTGGGACCACTTGTTCACAAGGAGGCAGGGAAGGAAAGTTATATACTGTAGCAGCCGTGGCATTTCTCGTTCTCTCGTAACCCTCTTGCACTTGTTCATCCGGTGTAGTTTCTCCTAGTTGGAAGACTGTGAGAGGGAAACTGCCACGAGTTGAATGCCTCCCTGCCTTGCAGCAATTTCCAGCATCGAAAGAGCTTTTCCACTCGAGCTTGTAACGCTTTGTAAGTGTAGGAAACGTTAATATTCTAGGTGTTCCTTACCACGTTTTAACTCACAAATCTGTATTTCCTTATTCCTTATTAAATCAAAATGTTTCTGTTGCAAGGTTATGAATCTGTGTCAGATGGGTCATGCAGGGATTTAGAATATGCAAATAGAGTTCAGATCAGCCAGTTTTATCTTGAACTGTGCACATTTCTTCTCAGGGTTGAGTAAGCACCATTAGATTCAACAGGATATTCTTCTAGATGAACTTGTATAGGATTGCTCTTTAAAGGGCTATAACTAATAATATAGTGTAAAAGCTGAGATGATTAGATTGCTGTTATTGTCGTTAAGTGATGTGATTTTCTTTCTTTCTTTCTTTCTTT